AAGGGAAATTTAAAAAAGATAAATCACAATAAGCTTTCTAAAACACAAAATCTTCTAAAATTAAGAAAATCTAAGCTCTACTCATTACACCGCATAGAACTATTTCTCAAGCTTCTAATGTTCACTGCAGGCTTCAGATGATCAGCTTTTGCTTATGGATTTGCTTTAAATTATACATCAATTTATCTGTATTTTTTATATATAAATATCCAACCTTATACATGGGTTATATATAAGGCCTACCTGCAAGAAGGCCCAATATTTACAAATTAAAATCAAGACCATCCCCATAATTTTAAATCACTAAAGTAAAGCTCACAGACATCTTCTCCAGATCAAATAGGACTCACAGCTGATTTAATTCCAATTCTGTTGCTGCCAAACACCCAGAATTCCAGAACCAGTAAACTGGGTGTCCAATTATCCCTCCTATAGTTCGAGGGGCTGCATTTAAATGAAGACTATGAAAATCAAATACACTTGAAATGCCTTTTTGAGCACTGAAAGTGATAGCTGCTCAGGGAAAGTGCTTCTAAAAAAATTAAGTCTTACTAAGTGTGGTTTTAATAAAGATTTAAAGATGGACAAGTTTTCTGCTTGTTGTCCCTCACTCCCACCCCACAACAAAGTGACTAAAACACCCAAAAAAGGCCAAACACTGAGAAACAAAGATTTTCGGTAAGAACAGCTTTTGCTTGAGCAGGATGAGAATGGGGGAAGGAAAAAACCAGAAAGAAAGAAAGAAACAACCCGAACCCAACCCAACCAATTTTTCAAGTTCAAAGCATTATGAAAACCTTGCCTCTCCAAGGGGAGCAGACTCTGCACAAAGAACATGGACATGCTGGACACCCCCATTCCTGGTTCACTCCCTGCAGCCCCTCAGAACCAGCACAGCCAGAGGCCTCTTCCAGAGGCCTGTCCCTGTCACTTCTGGGACAAAGTCACCTCCCCCAGGTATGCACTGACCAGCACATCCACCTTGGGTTCCAGCTGCAGAATCCCTGCCTTTTATGTTTCTATTTTCCCAGAGAAGCTGTGGCTGCCCCACCCCTGGAAGTGTCCAAGGCCACGTTGGACGGGGCTCGGAGCACCCTGGGACAGTGGAAGGTGTCCCTGCCATGGCAGGGGGTGGGATGAGATGGGCTTGAAGGTCCCTTCCAACCCAAACCATTCTTGAACACTTCCAGGGATGGGGAGTCCACAACTCCATATTACCACATTAATCCTCGGTGAACAACAGGCCAACAAACTGCAGTTTCACACAGTAACAGAACTTATATTTAATGCCTAGAATGCAATTTTGAAAAGGTGAGATCAATTAAAAGACCCATTCATCAAACTAGGGACAGAAAACAATGCTTGCAAGTAGATCTTTAGATGGAAGTCTCAAAGAAGCAAGTCCTGCTCCTCAGTAATCTCAATCCCAATGCCCAATTCCCAAATGATTTCCCAACATATTGCTTCCAAAGCAGAAAAAGCACCGAAATATTTATTACAAAGAAGGTCAAATAAAAATCTCTCATCATAATTTTACCATCACAGCTAGGAGGAAAAGGAGTGAAGGAAAATGGCTACAAATACTCCTGACTGAAGTTCCTGCCCAGCACAGAAACCTGACGTGTTTGGTGCATTCAGCAATATAACCTGTCTCTAACAACACCAACCCAAAGAGCATTCCCAGGGCAACAAAATAATGTTTGAACCACTTTGGAGATTGAAAGATTTTTTTTTTCTTCACTTCAAAGCCAATCCAAGGGTTTATTCAGGCTCTGGCCTCTCTGCCCAGCCGGACAATGAACAAGAGCCCAGCTCAGCTCCCAGAGAAAGACTGGCAGTCTCAGGGCTGGTACCACATCCAGGGGCACTCCAGCTGTGCCAGGCAGAGTTTCCCTGTGGGAAGAGGCACAAAGAGATGCTCAAAGTGCTGTATCCATGGATGTGATGGATCAGCCCTGGCTGCCTTCAGTCCTGTTGCACATCTCATCCTGCTGGCACAGGAGTTTTCTTTTATCTAAAGCTTTTAAAGCTTTAATGTAAATATTAATGCAAATATTACCTTTGATGGGACTGGATTCCTCTGCATGGAGCACAGAATACTCACTGATTTAGCCACAGATTTGTTCTCAAAGTCAAACCTTTAAGGATTTCCTGTCAGGTGATGCACTACTTGATTCAGCCCTTTAAGGTGGGCTATATATGAGAGTACTACAAGCTGTAGTCACGGTCTGGAGAGTTATTTTTTATCACATTTCTGGTCATAATCAAATAGATTGAATTCCTGCTCTACTCCTGCAGGATTATTGCTCCCATATAAACTCAGCCTCTTCGGTTTTCATTCCTTACTTATTTCAACAAGTAAAGCAAAACCTGTATTTATTTAATGCTGGACAGGTTCCACTTTTTCTTGTGACTTGATCTAGAATAAATATAAAAGATGCAAAGGGGTTGGGATTTATTATTATTATTATTTCTTCCTATTGAATATTTAAGCCAGCAACCATTTCCTTAAAAATTTCTCCTGGCCATGTCCCAGTGCATGTAAGAGCTTGTAAAAAACAATACAAGTTTTCAAATTAATTTCTCTAAGACTCCATATATTTGTATTGTTGCTGAGTATCATAACACTTCTACAGAAAAAGGAAAACAGAAGATGGAAGGGGAGAGGAAAACTGACTTCAAACAAATAAACTAGAGCTTGCAAAAAGGAGGAAACATTGTTCTTCTCCCAATACCTCTTCAGAGAAAGGCCGATGAAATTAAGCAATATATACAACCCATGCATTGCAACAGAAGTTTCAAATGCCATTTTAACATAAGGCAAGTAAAAAAAGGAAAATCCAATAAAATTATAAAGGAAAAGAAAGCCCATTGCATATTACTGAGAGACTAATTTCATTTTCATATTTGCCTCAGAGTCCCAAGCTCCTGCATGATGTGGCCTCTGAGTGTACAGAGGGATTGTTTCAGTATTTTCCAGCATCCTCAACAGCCTGTGTTCCTCCACCTTCTCCCTTGCACATTGTTCTTCAAACTTGCAGCTAATCAAAAGAAATTTCTGGGATCTTATCTTCCATTTTTAGTGCTGGCCTAGTTAAAGACACAAAGGGAACCCAGCAATAGTGAGTCGTGCTTCTCTTTTTGTTTTTGAAAGAGTAGAGGGAAAGAATCTCTCTGTTCCTCCCTTGATTATTAAGGTAAACAGGCTCTTCAGAGCTGTTGGTTTAATGGATGGAGGGAAAGGAGATGGGGAAGAGGCAACCTGGAGCTCAGATGGATTTGCTGCAGCACCAAAACACACCCCCAGCCGTGGCATTCCATGGCAGCACTGGTGGGACACCCTTGCTGTGCCATGGCATTCCATGGCAGCACTGGTGGGACACCCTT